ATATATATATATATATATATACATATATATGTTAGTTAAAGTAACATATTTTCACACTCGCCGATTCATTCTTTAACGCTCAATTATATCAGAAATCATTATTAGTATAAGCCTTATGCTATATTATCTCATATTTTAGTCAAGGACTAGCCTTGTCATGGGTGTAAACTAGTTAATCCAGGACTATCGTGGCCTACTTTCGAGATTACGTAATTAAGTTTAATTCTTCCAAATGGCTCGTGACAAGTTACTACTTGATAGCCTAGTAACCGGTTTTTTTTTTCATCTGATCCCTTTGATTAGGCTCTAATCTCAATCAGTATTGAAGTGATACAGCAGCCCAATCCCAATACCTTCATTTGGCTTTCTTTGATGAATTTCCCAAAAAAAAATTCTGGCAGAGTATCAACACTAAGGAAACTACCCGCTGGCAACAATATGATTTCCGTAGGGTTATGTGGTACCATTTCCCACGACCTTTGAAGCTTTTAACCCCTACTAACACACCATTTATACTCGAGTTTTTCTTCATTGCATGGGGTTTCCCCTAACGACCACGTGGTATAATTGAATTAATTTTTTATTACTAATAAGAAAACAAATTCTGATTTCTACTTTTTTTTTATTTTATTTTTTTTATAATTATTTTTGTTTTTGGCCTAAATACATGTAAAAGAAAAAAACGATTCTAGAACGGTTTTGCAATAATCATGTTAGGCCTATACACTTTCTTTTATAAAACACGCCGATGCTGAAAGAACAAAATAAGAAATAAGGTTTTTATTATAAAAAAAAAAACTAGAAACAAACCAACAAATCAAGCTAGTCACATACACCTTCTTTTTTTTATAAGAACCAGTACAATTTTGCCCATGGCTCAGTGTTCTTATTTTTTGCCGATTTCTTATTTCGTTTTTATTTTGACACACTTTTCAAACAAAATTAGTATTGTACAGCCGTTAACATTACAGGTACAGACAAGATTTGTTAGTTGCTCTATTTTTTTAAAATAAAATCCCCATTTTACATTTTATCTCAGCCTCAATTTGTTCTTATTTTGTTCTTAATTTTTAAGCGAGTTCAGCCTCAAGTGTTCTTATAAAAAAAGTGTACAGTAAAGTATTAATGTTTTATCCGTTAATGTAATTAGATGTGATGTACTGCAAAATCTGAACTTCCACAGGGATTGACAGCAATATAATGACTGCTGTTATATAATAATAATTTTCTAGCCTTGAAAAATGTGTAAAAGAATAACAAAATATGGACATTTTGAGCCTGAAATTAGCAAAAACAAGAACACTGAGCCTGGGCAGTTATGGCTTTTTATCTAGACAGCAAAAATAGCATCATGAGACAAACCTTTGAGAAAAATCCTGCTGTTACCAGGGTTATACCATGGAGGAAATGGTTATACACATAAGCATTTTAAGCCTCAAATTTTGCCT